TAGGCGTTTCCTGCTGGATACCATTTAGAAGACGAGGGACAGAAGGAACTTATTTTATTGAGTTTTTGGTTAAGACAGACCTCTTTGAAGACTGTTTTTCCTCCTTTGGTCGGTGAGTCACCTTTTTCCGAACTCATTTGAGTTTGCTTCACACCAACTTGCGTGTCGAAAGAGCGATTACTGTTTGGTGTCCCGACCGCGCTTGCCAAAAGACTTTTTTGCAGCATTTACCAGTGAGATGGCTTGGGTTAGCAAACTGTTTGCATCCGAACAGCGCTGTTGACAAAGTCATACACAACCGTTTTTACTGGACCGTTTGAAAGCCACAGGCGTTAAATTCGTGCAAACTTCGTGGTACCAGCCTCTGCACTCTTCACATTGCATGCCGCTTTCAACGGAATAACGACAGCCCAGACGTTGGCAATTGCTTTTTTCGCACTGTCCAGTCATTAAACAGAGGTCTTTATTTGGAAAAAAGAACTAGATTCAATAATACTCAGAGACAAAAATGGTCTATGACCAAAAAAGTGGAAAACTGTAGATTGTTAGGACGAAAAGTACTAACAGATGCAATAGAAAACAAAGTACTCAAAAGTACTGACGAAAAACTAATTTAGAAACACAAACGATACTCTAATCGAATGCTTTAACTGAAATAAATTCAATTAAAGTGAAAACAGTAGTCTTGATACGTAATAAACGATCAAAACAATGGAATTTACTCAGCGAGGAAAAATACCACTGTCCTTTTAATTAGCGCGTGATTTGATGCCTCATTGCCTGAGATCATTGATAAGACATATATAGTTGACCCTATCAAGAGCTTTTGAGAAGTGTAGGTAAATTTGGTAACCTCCCCCTTGCGATCAAGGGTGGTTGTCCATCTCTACCGTAGTCAGCAGGTTGGCTATACAAAAATCCGTCTATAAACCATAGTTCCACTGACAGTTTCATGTTAGGACCCATTTTAGCTCGTAACTTCGGTGTCCATATAATCGAGACAAAAGATCTACTTATTTTATATATAAAATAAGTCCTTTTAAAAACTTCGAATTTCACTCCAAATTGGGTCTACCAATTATTGAGTGTCGAATAAATAAAGGACATTTTACGGACGTGATTTTCTTTAAAATAATCCTTACCTTGAACGACTTTTTGGGCAGGCTAAGATCGACCAAACGTCTTATTGAGATATAAATATCCCTATAACCAACCTTGACGTATCAAATGCAGCGGGACATTTCATGCGATATCACCTTCGCGCACAAATAGTTGGAACTGTTCAGTCCTCAATCTTCAGTAGCAGGGATAGGTCTATTGACCTATATTAGTCCTTGAAGTTTGTAACACTGTAAGGTTCAATTTTGTTTTGAATATATCAACAGAAGGTACTGATACTATGTGTTCCGGTAGAGAATTCAAGTAATTCACTACTCGATGCGAGAAACGAAACTCCAGACGTAGACGATTTGTTCCTGGTTTTTGAACTGTCTTCGAATGTCCTCTCAGATGGTCAGTTCTAGTCGGAAGAAAAAGGCAAGGCATATTAATACTAGGGTCATCGTTCAGTATAGGATATGCCAATATTATATCACCACATATTCTACGATAAGGTAACGGAAATAAGTTCAGGTGACTCAGTCGGTCTTCATATGATAGGTTGGAGAGACCTTTTACAACTTTAGTCCCTCTTCGTTGAACTCCCTTCAGCATATCCCCCTCACACTTGAAACAAGGACTCTGCTTTAATCTCATATTCCTGTAGCGGTGAATAAATTCCTAAAATAAATAGCTCTGTAAGTCTTTGATATTGGATGCTGACCACAGTAGTTTTAATGGACTCATCTAGATGAAGGCGCTCGGTCATGTATCCGCACCAGGTCACGAGTGGGAACACCGTGCTCAACATCACCTGCAATCGCTAGCCAGATTAGATGAGTCGATCCACGATATATTGATAGCCTATCAAATATGTCTTCGAACCTCCTCGCTTCTGTCTTTTGATTTCACCTGGTGAGTACGATTCATATCAAAAGGTGTTACTGGTTAAAGCATTGTCAAAACTTCAAATACCTGTGGCATTTTCATTCCCAATGTGGTCGCTCGGATATCGGCTATAATAATTTACGTATTTATCCAAATACTGTAAAGACCTACGAATAGACCGCAATAACGCATAGCTTATTGCAGTATCAGCCTTACAGTGGCTGGTGGTTTTGAGATCACTGCTCGGTATGACTCTTGATTCTTTATGGTTTCTTACTCTGGGCAACGCGTATCCACATATTGTATAGTGATGCCAATCATTATAGTTACTTAATCGCACCATCACACTCTTGTTAGAATTCACTTCTAATAACCACCCGTCTATCAGTGCCATCAATGAGTTGAGATCATCCTGAATTACCATGCTATCTGACATCCCGTGTGTGTCATCGGCGAAGAGTAGAACGGATGATTTTGCTACAATTGGTAATTCATTTACATAAAAAGAGAAGAGAAGAGGGCTAAGGATTGTGCCTTGGAGAACTCCATTTTAACGGGTTCTCACGAAGAGAGAGCTCCATTTACCCTTATCCTACACCGCCTCTCATGGAGAAAGTTACTTATTTAATCTACGACTGTATAATGAATCCCAAAACGTTCCAGACTGAATTTAAAACCGGGATGGGAGACCTTATAAAAAACATTATTTAGATCTATGTAAATCGCATCTACGGGTATATTTCGATCTTTTGCCCCAGCCCAGTCTTCTCTTTCAATGAGAAGATTTTTCAATTATGATAGGTCTCATCGTAAACCATATTGTTCCCTGGAGAAAAGATTATGCCCTTCCACATAATTTATAACAGCCATCCGAATAACTTTTTGATTAGTTTGACAGCTGCATTAGTAAAGCTAAAGGGTCGATAGTTACTAACTAAATCCCTTCTCTCAGCCGGCAGTCTGGACTGCCTCACAGACATGTCAAACAGTATAGCTATATGTTCAGCAATTACATCTGATGGGGCTTTTATAATCCTAGGATAAATATCATTGAGCTCACTGGACTTATAAGTTCGAGATGCTGAAGTAGTCTTAAGACAGTACCTTCCTCAATAACTACAGGGTCCATAAACAAGCCGCCACAGTCACAACGACATATTCCGATAAAGATTCGGCTTTTTCGGTATCGCTTCTTGCCAATATTCGTGTATCAGTAGTAATTGAACTCAACCGTATCTCTGAAATCGCCATTTTATATACAAGAATAGCCGTTTCGGACTGTATTTACAATCCTTATTCGATGCTTTTCGTATGATTGTCTAGTCTTACTTATTGACGCTTTACAAGCACTACTAATCTTACAATAACTGGATATATGTACTGTTCTAAGCCAGTAGAGATGAACATATTCCAGTGCTTCCCCCTACATCGAAGAAGTTTCTTGACCTGTTTAATTATCCATGGTGTACTGTTATTCGTCCTACGTGGTACCAGGTATAGTAAGAATGAGGATGTAACTGAAAAAAACTTGCCCTTAAATATAGACCATGCCTCTTCAACTGATGAGCTAGTATTTACTGACAAAACTGCCTTAAAAGCACACACTTGAAAGAGTGATATGTTAGCTCTTCATATATTTGGGCAAGGCTTAACCTGATAGCATATCGTGTCACTAGATCTACACGTGAATGACAAAGCAGCGTGATAGCAATTTAAAACGACGGAAGAATACCTAGGCTCCCAAGATACTCAGTCATATAAATGATAACGAAGTCCAGCAGAGGAGAACACTGTTTTGAATCAAATGGTTCCGGAGGAGATGGAGAGAACGTTCACATAACGGGCTTCCGTATCTAGTAGTAGTGCATCGACAATACTTCCAGGCAGGAACCAAGTTATATTAACGATAATAGAGGGTGAAAAATAGAAATTGGTAGATCATAGTTGAAAAGTTGAAAAAGATTTAAGAGTGTTGCTACCTTACGATTTAATTGTCTTACGCTAACTGAGACAAAAGTGTCTATCGAGCAAACCTTGCACTGGTAACACTGAAGCGCATTTGCGGCCAGTCTGACAGTAGGACTCTCAGCATAATCTTCAACAGTTTTATTCGTCTCTATTTAGAATACGGAAGCATAGTATTTCCTCCCTCTCTCCAAAAGGATAAGGACACTCTGGAACGCATCGAACGATGAACCACGAAATCATTTCGGGACTCAATTGCAAGTCTTATGAAGAGCATCCCCAATCACTGAACCTCTACCCAGTAGAGTACAGGCGTCTTAGAAGTGGCCTTCTAGTGGCTTACAGTATCCTCAACACTTCTGGACATCCCCTTAAACACCTACATAAGTTTGGCTCCAACACAAACCTATGCGGTAACACCCAGAAACTATAGACACAAGACAGCAGAACAGATTGTATACACAACTTCTACTCACAATTGATTGGTCACTGGGTGGTGATAGCGTTCGATCTGCACTGATAAGGACTTGACACAGATGACATTGATCACCACCCAGTGATTAATCAATTGTGATTACATCTCAGTCCTACAAAGGGTCGGTCGCGGCCCAGATAGCTCAGTGGTAACGTCTCTGACTGTGAATCTGGGTGACACGGTATCAGATCCGTCAGGGAGAATCAGTTCCCTCAAGATTACAGGTACACCTTGTTGACGAGTGACAAGTAGCACGAAACTCGTGTCCAGGGTTTCCTGCCGACTACCTTCAACCACCATCTAACAACTTCTGCTCCATAAGAGTTGTCAAATGCTGGAATTGGCTGCCGACTTCCCAACGGTCCTTTAGGAGAAACGTAACATATTCTTAGGGACTAAGGAGAGTTTCTCACTATGATCTACCAATTTCTATTTTTCACCCTCTATTATCGTTAATATAACTTGGTTCCTGCCTGGAAGTATTCTCGATGCACTACTACTAGATACGAAAGCTCCTTAAGCGATAACTTCTTCTATTCCATTTTGAAGTATTTCATCCACTCTTGAACCATTTGTACAATTTGTACGCCAAAATGAATAAGGCGCTGCGGCTATCTCGTTCGGTTTTGCAGTCAGCTGATTCCTCGCTTAAATCTAGTATGGTGATCTGCCATGGTTTATTGGGTTCCAAGAATAATTGGAAGAGTATTTCCAATGCGTTAGCCCAGAAAAACTGTGGAACTGTAAGTGTATAAATCTTAGTCGTTCATTAATAGATTGTGGCCGTTGATTTACGTAATCACGGAAATAGCCCACATTCCGATGATATGAACTATTTTAATATGGCGGAAGATATACACATGGTTGTAGATGACCTCAGCCTGCGTAGCGTATGCTTGGTTGGCCATAGTATGGGCGGCAAAGCGGTTATGTGCGCAGCTCTAATGAAAGTAGTTATCTTTTAAATGATTATTAGCCAGCCAGAAAGGTATGATAAGTTGGTTGTATTTGACATATCCACGACACCAAAATCTACTATACAATCTCTTACACCTATAGTAGATCTAATGTCTTCTGTGGATTTGAAAGCTTTGGGACACAAAAATAATGGGAATATAGGAATGGTCCGAAATTCATTAATGAAAGAATGGGATAAAACAGTCCCGGTAAGTAAAAAAACTCTTCCATTCAGTAATTTTTAAAGCTAAGTTGGTTTGCCTATGATTCGCCAGCACATGTTCAAAATTGAGTGATAACCGCTTGTTGAGTTTCTGAAAAATAAACTTGGCTTAAGAAAGTCCTAATGTTTTACGTTTAGAAATATGGTTGAACAGTAACTGAATATTTATTCGGTAAATGTACTATAGATTAACACAATCACAGGTTGCGTATATTTTTTATTGGATATATTACGGTTAAGAGTAGTACTATAGTTATAAATTAATGAATTTTGACCTCAGAACAATACTGAATTTCAAATACTTGCATGGTACGGTTTTGATGTCGCTTTCTTCAACAGAACAACCTAATCTAATTCCTAATGCGTTCTGGTCGTTAAATATATATGCTGTTATTGCAAAATAATGATATATTTGTAACATAATAATACATAGAAAACTTCAACTTACATTTCTAACATCTCGTCACTCAGTGTAAGCCGCTTCTTCAGAGAACGAATAAACAAATCAGATAACCCAAGTTTAAATAATACAAAGAAACAAGGCTAAAATATTTAGTGCGATCAATACAAACACAGGTCTGATTAAGTCAATGACATGTCATTCCAATTAAGGTGTTTTATGTGAGACATGTTTATGTATTTTTGTGCATGTTAATGAACGAGAAATGTGACGTTTGTGATGTGAAAAGATAGAGTTAAATTTCTCATCGAGTAGTCAATGATTGGAACGCATTACCCGAACTCGTGGTGTCAGCCCGACCAGTGAATATTTTCAAGGAGAAGCTGGACCCTCACTGGAAAGCAATCTGTCAGGATTAACACAGGTTCACCAACCTACTATCCTTATTACTGACGACTGAAGGTAATAGTGTGAGATGTGAATAGGATCAGACATTGTAGCTTGGATAGATGTCCAAGTCGAATGAATAGTAAGATCTCTACTAAGGGAAGTAGGATTAATTTTTGAAAAGCTTCTGCTACTCGCCTTTTTTGTAGTTGGAAAAGCCTTTTTCTATTACTTTGATATTTTTAATATCGATTTAATGGTTATTGAAAATGGCATGAACTGCTATTGCCGATCTAATTTGGAGCCTTGCCAGTCCTGAATGATTATTAGGTGGTTTCCTTGTGTATTCAAGATGTTTTTTTTTAGCTGGAATCATGATTTCTTGAGATGCCTTTTCAACATAAAAGGATATCACAATCGACACATCCTAATTTGTAGGCGCTTTTCTGCGTCGACATAAAGGGGGCTTTTTCCTTCATACGAACTAAAGCATTTCGGAGTATGTTAGTTGTTTTGTAGTATGCTTTGACTCTGTGTTATTTTAAGACTCTTTGGAGCTCTGTTGTACCATAGCGGTATGGTAAAACCATAGTACCAATCCATGATATTTCATTTGGATTATTATTTAACAGTAAGACGTCTCATTTTATCGCACTTTTAGCAATCTCAATAGGAAGAATTATTAAATTGTAAGATGTTAATTATATGCTTTTTTTCTTTTCGTTTACCCTTTTTATATGTAACAATCTTGTTTGATTTTCCAAAGAGATTTAAGGCTAGATAGATTTTTGCACTGAATGAATGTACTGGATTGGAATCGATATAAAGATTTGAGTGTGTTGGTTTTAGGTAGATGGTTGAATTTAGAGCTCTACTTAGATATCTTTTAACCAAACAATTTAAAAATTATAGCCCACCGTGTTTATTTTCACTATTACTATTATTCAATATTACACTTTTGGTACAATATAATATTCTCAGCACTAGGTATTTCAGCAAATTTCTTTTACAAAAAGAAGAAAAAAACGAGAGAAACTGGTAACTGCATACATATATACATAAGTAGATAAACCACCTGGAATCAAGCGAAATGATTTTTAAAGATTTGAATCTGTACAACATTTTAATTAGAAAAATGTTTAAGAATACAAGTTATTGACTAGGTAAACTCTAACAACTTGTTCGTCACATAGTATATTTGCTAGATGAGGCATTGTAGAACCTTCATACCTTTGCTTGGGTTCATGGATTCTAATGTATTGACATGTATTGATATACAAGGAGAAAGATATGAACGAAGTGGATGGTTAGTATTTAAGAAGATAATGCCTGCCAGGAGTTTGCAGGATTTTGGATGTGTGTCAACATCCATATCACTAATGACCTCCAAAGATTCACCACATACCGTGCTAACTGCCTTCAAAACTTCAAGTGTTTTGGACGACGTATTAAAGTTATACACTTCATAAAGTCGTTTGAAAACTTAAAACATGAATTAGATTGACAACTGTTAACGTTTACAAATGTAACTACACTGCCGCAACACCTAGTCTTACTGTTTGAACGATCCTGATGATAGATATTAAGATATTGTTGTTATACTAAGCCATCTTCTTGTAGATCGTTTAACAAAGATTCTTGAATTCCGATCACACTATGATTACGATACATGTTTTGATGTTTCCAGTCAATTAGCTCGTCCCAATATTTAGAACTTGGTGAAATCCCAAACCTTCTTTTTGAAAGTGCTGACGTTTTGTGTTGTCCGTTCACAAGCACCTTCAACAGATCCTTCTCAACTGATTCATACCGAGAATTTGAGGAAAGATAAATTTAATCTCAATACCTAGGAAAGTATCTGGCGATAAAAATGTTAAATTTAAACGCATAGCGATAACTTCACCTTTTCTCAAAACAATAAAAAATTTACTGCTACTACCACTTCAACCTGCACTAAAAGAGAACAGTGATCTGTACCAGTTCGCTTCCAACTGCAAAGGAACCACCTTAAATGCTGCTATTGTTCTGCATCATAGTATAGTGTTCAGCTTGGTAAAGGGTAAGAAGTATGTTCTGTGCGCTTTTCTGGATTACACTTCTGCCTTTGACTTTATTCCAAGACAACTCCTACTGAACAAGTTAATCAGCGTCAACGATGACTATTGGATAACCGACTGGCTATGTTCCTACCTCTTTGGAAGATGATAGTACACTATGTTTGGAGAAAAGTGTTCAATGTCCTTACTGTCTCATTAAGGTGTGCCACAAGAAGCTGTCCTCCCCTCCTCTTCTTTTCCCACTTTTTCTGCATGATCTACCATTTTCCACAGAAAACACTTTTGTTAAGTATGTGGACTATCTCACTGTATGTATGCCGATTTCTACCTCTTCACATCCCCTTGAAATGAATGAGTCCTTGTTTCGTATTGAATGGTGATCTGTTGTTATTGGTCTCACACTTAACCCGTCTAAATGTCAAACTGTTAACCTTAGCCTGAGACATGAACAGCACCTAAACACCCTGTTGGAATCTTAGTGTCCAAAGTGTAATTTATGGTTTTGAATTGATATGTTATTATCCGACATATTATTCGAATGACAGCTTACATTTTGAGGTAGAACAATCTACATGGCTGAAATGGACTTTGCTCACGATTTTCACAGTGTCTTGTGAGTTCAGTCAATCATCACATGACTTTTCCAGTTGAATGGCAGCCAACGTCTTACCTGGCTATGTTAACTATTAGGTTGCGACTGATTTGATTCGGTAAATTTATGTAGGAGTAAAAATGTATCGATCTGCTAATTGTAAGAGTTTGGTGCATAAGAAATTATGGTTAGTATCCAGATGACGTCTAAAAGAAACCCAAGGTTTGTATTCATCAGGACAATTGATTTTTGATTGGAATATGACCTACTTGAGTCCATTTTGAGTTGCAAAGAGAAGACTGTATGTATTACATCAGCAACATCTCTATCGTAGGTTGGAACTGGAAATAACTAGACTAATCTGTTCGGAACTCTAAAACACGATTTACGTCATTTGAAATGCAACCAACAAGCCATCGTTAGCCATAAACATGAAGTTCCTTTGTGGCTACACATCCAAACGGCACATATAAGTCCATAGTTTCCATCATAATATTTGATAAATGGGTATGGGAAACTTGATTTAATTACGGGGATAACAGAATTCATTGTTTGTTAACTCGGTTTCTGATTGAACTCTCTCATCTGTCGGCTAAATTGTGTTGACGGAAGTTCATTCGTTTAGTATTGCCTCAACTTGTGGCGGAAGATATTGATGTATTTATTTATTTATATGAACACATAAATATTGGTACAAAGGTGCACCAAATACATACGCGCCACACAAGTCCCTTGATTTATATATGGGTTGTGATACTGCCCGGGTGCCCAGACCGAAGCAGATGGTTTTCTTAGAGAGCCACATCCGGAGACTTTGACCTAAAGGTCTAATCCACAAAGCAGTGGAGCAACGTCAGGAAATGCAGTCCCATGGTAGCCGGTGGCCAACCATTGGTTCATACGCCATTTGTTCCCTCAGATTCCTGGAGCCCATGTGCACCGTTAGTTTGGAGTAAAGGTTTCCCAACTCCTCTAGGTGGATCCTCCGTGTTCACGAAGCCGGTTAAAGCACTAAAAATTCGCTTTTCGTCATCTGAATTTCGTAAACAACACCCTCGCCACGGGAAGACAGTGAGTAGGACTTCCTTGGCAGTGGTTGTTTGTGCGTGGCCACGTGAGAGCATTTCAAGAGGGAGAGCAGATTCTTCCCACCCTCGACCTATTCATATTAGCTCTTGTGTATTGTTATGAACTTTAAGATACTTAACGTTTCCTATTTATAAACCATCTAATAGTAACTAACATCATATTAGTTAGTCTTTATTATCAACTGTATTCTGTTTATCATGTTTATACGACCTGGTCAAGTGTAGGTCACTCAATATCTCAGTATATCACATTTGATATTTAATGTGTATGTAGTCAAGAGGAAATTGTAAACTACTTTTGTGTTTGTTGGTACTCAATATTACACGTAAGATCGAGGTCTAGAGTTGTCCATAAACCAACTCAATCTACATCACAAATTCATTTTGTTTTGACTCCCTTATTTTATGTCTTTTTAAGTAGCACCTGTCTGTCTCTTGTATATTAATATTCAGAAATTTCTTTCTTGATAAAAAGCAGTTTTCTAATTGAATGTCATAATTTAAGATAAATCATTAAATTTTTGAGTTTTATTTTGAGTAGAATCCTACAATGCGCGCGTTTCTTCTAACAAATCTTGGAGAAAAAGATGGAGAGATATTTTGGAAGGTGAACCTTAAGGCAATTAAAAGCTGTTGGAATCAGATAACAGACTTTCCTGCGGAATTGAGTGGTCGTGTTTTCAACCAACCTGTGATGTTTGTTGCAGCAAGCGATGGAAAGTATTTAGGGTAAGTCTTCTTAACTTCCCGTGAAGACTTGCTAAAATTGTCATGAATGTTTGTTTACGAATAATTGGTTTTTCGACTGATAACGCATCCTTGTGTTAAAGTGGAAATCAATGGTTTAATATTAAATAAAAATATTCTTTTTGACAAAATTATATTTTGAAGTGATACGTTATATCGGTTAATGGTATGAAGAAAATTTAAAAACAACACGTGTTTATATAATCTTTAGTTCAAATAACTCATTTACCAGGTGCCTGGGTATTATTTATAATCCAAGTGGTCGTTCCAATAATACTATCCAGTTACTCATACCAAAGTAGGCGGAGTGGAGTCTCAAACCTGCGACCGAAAGTCGCATGTCTTAACCACTAAGCCACCGCTTCAACATATTCGTACAGTTAACGCTGTGCTATATTATATCCTTGTTTGAGACCATGATCTTTTCCCGAAATTCTGGTGAAAAGTTGTAACTAGTAGAGTTTAACCATACTGTGTATGGTATCAGATGTTCATCAGACTATATCTTAAATTGACTGAAGTTTGAAATGTATATTATTAGGTTAAGTGTTCGTTGCCATATTTAAAAGTCTTCAATTTGACCTCATATGAATTTGGGGTGGGGCTTATTGTGTAGGAGCTCAAAAACAAAAAGGAAGAGCTGTCCTGTGTTTTTTGATTTTCAATTGTTCTCTAGCTAATGTCGATCAATGATCAGGAAATATTTTCAACTTGGACTAGTCTCCACAAAATATGCTACTACTTCATTTTAATTTTGTCATGTTTTTTAATCAGTATGTTCAATAAATGAATGTGAATAGCAAGTATATTACTAAAGTCCACTAAAAGGTATGCACATGATTTTAATTTTACTACATTGAAACTAAATTTGCTGAACAAAATTTCTTCGTTCAACTGACTCTATTTTTTGAACTGAATTAAGTATCATCACAAATTCACGTTTTCGTGTCCCATGAAATGTAATCAATATTGTTGATGTTTCATTAAAGTGTTCTTTTTATATCATTGTTCTTTATAATGTTCAGACGATCAGATTTACCATCTCTACGCAAATATTTCCCTCAAGCAAAAATTGTTCAGATTGCTAACACCGGTCATTGGGTTCACTTTGACGCTCCAAATACAGTGACCAATTTGATTACATCTTTCGTGTTAGATAAATCATTTGATCCTACCTCATTTGCAGATGTTAAAGAGATTAAATAACAACAAAAATGGTATACTGTCAGTATGTAATCGATAAGAGAAGGAAGACAAACTTATTTCTATAGTTTTTGTCTTTTCGTTAATTCTTCGATTATTGTGTATTGAACTTGTCATAAAGGGGTTTGGTGTTATTCATTTATGGCATTAAAGTTGGCTGCAGATCTGAATAATGTGACTGGCATTTGATAATGAATAGACTAATTAGGAGACTGTTTCAAAGTTGTTTCTGGGTTGTAAGGTGATGACGAGGATTTGCATCTAAGGTTTACAGAAGATGTGTAGCGTTCACTTCGTCCTACTCGTGATTTAGTGAATTATCGGTCATATTTAGTCCCAGAATCTAATATAAGAGAAAACAGATTTCCGAATCTGTCAGAGGTAAAACGAAAAATTTAGCTTTAAATCCACAACCGCAAATAATAATACTAAGTATTGTCATCTGGGTAAAAGATTCTTCACCAAGGTTATGCTTGCTGAGACATTTAAACCTGCAAAATCATATGGAAGCAGACTTCATCGAGTGTATAACTTGACTGTTCTTCTTAGAAGAAACAATCGAGAGTTTTATGATTCTACCTGACGACCGATGTTCACTGTATAAATCCAAATAAACGATTCTCTCCAGTTTCACCCAAAACTAAACAGTCCAGAATTGAAATCCTAAGCGAAATTATTTAACCAGAAAAAGGTTAAACTATCACGCGATGGGTCAGAGATGATCCTTATAGCTAAATCATAAAGAAAGAGAAACGGGACGCTAGTGTATTAAGCCAACATCAAAACCATGTCTTAGGGAAAATTCGATGAATTTTTTATATCTACCAATAGTTTGGCTTTCGTTAAAACGTTGAAGCCTCAAAATGTCTGGTAAATAAAACTATTTTATATGTATAATTTAGTGAATAGAAAAAGCAGTTACCCACCTCAAATTTCAATTTGCGTTCTAGACCATTATTGTCCTCTTTTAATTTCCATTTATTTAACTGTTTGGAAGTAGAGTTGCTTAAACTTTAGACCTTATCGACTGCGTTTTAACTTATTGGAGGATCAATATTTAAGTTTATTGTCTGATTCTGTGGATGCACTGTACTATGCACCTATTCAGCACAGTGATTTTGTATCGTAGAATGAAGGAAATGCTTTCCGACTAGCCAGTGTAAAACTTTGTGATCATTGTTATCCTGAAAATCTTATATTTGTTAAGACTGCAGAATGTTAAGCTGTTTTAAATATATGATAATTTGTAAAATTATCATTGTCAATGCACAGTTTCAGATAAGAAGAACTTGTACATCTTAGGAAATATTCTCATTGAGTTAAAGAATGAAGATAGACTTGTATTTGTACATCCTTACTTACTTAATTACGCCTGTTACTCCCAATGGAGCATAGGCCGCCGACCAGCATTCTCCAACCCATTCTGTCCTGGGCCTTCTTTTCTAGTTTCATCCAATTCTTGTTCATTTCTCTCATGTCTATTTCCATTTCCCAGCGTAATTTGTTCTTTGGTCTTCCTCTTCTTCTTTGGCCTTGAGGATTCCATGTGAGGGCTTGTCTTATGACGCAGTTGGGTGCTTTCCTCAATGTGTGTCCTATCCACTTCCAGCGCTTCTTCCTGATTTCTTCCTCCGCTGGGATCTGGTTTGTTCTTTCCCACAGTACGTTGTTGCTAATAGTGTCCGGCCAATGGATCTGAAGTATTTTGCATAGACAACTGTTAAACACCTGTATCTTCTGGATGATGGTTTTCGTAGTTCTCCAGGTTTCTGCCCCATACAGTAGGATTGTCTAGACATTTGTATTGAAAATCCTGACCTTTGTGTTGGTTGACAGTTGCTTTGAGTTCCAGATGTTCTTCAGTTGTAAATATGCTGCTCTTGCTTTGCCGATCCGCGCCTTCACATCTGCATCAGATCCACCCTGTTCATCAATGATGCTGCCCAAATATGTAAAGGTTTTTACATCTTCCAAATCTTCCCCGTCAATTGTGATTGGATTGGTGCATTCTGTGTTGCATCGGAGAACCCTGCTTTTCCCTTTGTGTATATTGAGACCTACTGCTGCTGAGGCTGTTGCCACACTGGTCGTCTTCCCCTGCATTTGTTGTTGCGTTTGGGATAGAAGGGCCAGATCATCTGCGAAGTCTAGATCGTCCAACTGCATTCTAGATGTCCATTGTATCCCGCGTTTTCCTTCAGATGTTGACGTCTTCATGATCCAGTCGATCACCAGGAGAAAGAGAAAGGGTGAGAGTAAGCAACCTTGCCTAACACCGGTCTTCACTTCGAACGACTTTGTCAACTGTCCTCCATGCACGATTTTGCAGTGTAATCCATCATATGACCTCTGTATGATATTGGCTATCTTCTGAGGCACGCCGTAGTGTCGAAGAAGTTTCCATAGTGTTGTTCTGTCCACGCTATCAAATGCTTTCTCGTAGTCAATGAAGTTGATGTAGAGCGATGAATTCCATTCAATTGATTGTTCCACAATGATCCGTAGAGTTGCGATTTGGTCTGTACACGATCTATCCTTACGGAATCCTGCCTGTTGGTCACGAGGTTGGGCGTCTACGCAGTCCTTCATCCTGTTTAACAATACCCTGTTGAAGACTTTTCCCGGTATTGAGAGAAGAGTGATGCCCCTGTAGTTATCACAGTTGCTGAGATCGCTTTTCTTCGGTATTTTGATCAGGAGTCCTTCTGTCCAGTCTTTTGGTACTTGTTCCTCATCCCAAATCTTATTGAATAGAATGTGGAGTATCCTTGCAGTTACTGCTACGTCTGCTTTTAGTGCCTCTGCTGGAATGTTGTCCGGTCCTGCTGCTCTGCCACTCTTGATTTGTCTGATGGCCATGCTGATTTCTTCAATTGTTGGTGGGCCAACATTGATTTGGAGGTTCTTGGGTGCTGCTTCGATGTTGGGTGGTTCAGTGGAGCTGGTCGATTCAAGAGTTCTTTGAAGTGTTCTACCCACCTGTTTTGCCGCTCTTCAATGTTGGTGATTACCTCGCCTTCCTTGCTTTTCACTGGCCGTTCTGGTTTGCGGCGATTTCCAGAGAGTTTCTTTGTTGTGTCATACAATTGTCTCATGTTTCCTTCTCTTGCAGCCTTTTCCGCCGCCGTTGCTAAATCTTCCACATATTTATGTTTGTCGGTTCTGATGCTCCTCTTCACTTGTTTGTTTACTTCTGTGTATTCAGCTTGTGCCTTGGCTTTTTCTGCTCTTGTTCGACTGGTATTGATTGCTGCCTTCTTGTTCCTCCTTTCGTGAATCTTATCCAATGTATCAACAGTGATCCATTCCTTGTGATGGTGCTTCTTGTGACCCAGGACCTCATGACACGTTGAAGTGATTGCCTCTTTGACCCCCTTCCAGTTGCTCTCCATAGTAGTTCCTGCTCCATTGAGTAGATCATGAAAGGCCTGGAACTTGTTGCTGAGGACTATCTTGAATTTGTTGAGTTGGTTAGTATCCTGAAGAAAGGCCGTATTGAACTTTTGTGATATTGTCCGCCCCATTGTCCAGTGCTTCTTGAGTTTCAATTTCATCTTGGCGACCAGCAAGTGATGATCTGAGGCTATATCAGCTCCTCTCTTGGTTCTCACGTTCTTTATAGTCCTCCTGAACGTTTTGTTGATGCAGATATGGTCGATTTGGTTCTGCGTAGTGTGATCCGGTGAAGTCCATGTGGCTTTGTGAATGCATTTATGTGGGAATATGGTGCCGCCCATGACCAGTTTATTGAAGGCACATAGGTTTGCAAATCTCTCACCATTTTCGTTTCTTTCTCCCAGTCCGTGTCGTCCCATGACGTCTTCATATCCAGTGTTGTCCACTCCAACCTTGGCATTGAAGTCTACCATCAGAATAGTCAGGTCCTTTGTTGGACACTTCTCAACGATTGACTGCAGCCTATTCTAGAATTGATCTTTAGCGTCTTCATTGTAGTCGTTGGTAGGAGCATAGCATTGGATGATGTTCATTGAAATGCCTTCTTTCTTTGTTTTGAAGGAGGCTCTGATGATCCTTGGTCCATGAGATTCCCATCCTATAAGTGCGTCTTGTGCTCGTTTGGACAGCATCAATGCAACTCCTTGTGTATGTGGTGCATTTCCTTCTTCATGGCCGGAGTATAACAGGCGTTCTCCTGAAGTTATTCGTTGTTGTCCAACTTGCGTCCAGTGTGTTTCACTGATCCCAAGTACCTCTAAGTTGTATCTTCTCATTTTTGCAGCAATTTGGAAGGCTCTCCCGGTGTCCCACATTGTACGAACATTCCATGTACCTAAATAAATGGTCGCTCTGGTTGTCAGAAGGGGCATCGGCCTCGTAACTTCCGAAGGAATTCGGCTCTCATCATGAGGCGTCATAGTTCTTCTAAAAGAGGACCTTCTGACTCCCAAGGCAGAGTTTAAAAGGTCTGAATACTTTTTTCTGGTCAGTGTTTTTTTAGCGAGTTAGTTTTCTACGAGATGGGGTCACTAACCCCATGCCCAACCCTCCCCCTTCATCCGGAGAAACTCCAGGCGGAGTTGTTGTTTTTGACAGGACACATAAAATCATGATAAGAGCCGAACTTCACAGATGATCTGGCCCTTCTATCCCAAACGCAACAACAAATGCAGGGGAAGACGACCAGTGTGGCAACAGCCTCAGCAGCAGTAGGTCTCAATATACACAAAGGGAAAAGCAGGGTTCTCCGATGCAACACAGAATGCACCAATCCAATCACAATTGACGGGGAAGATTTGGAAGATGTAAAAACCTTTACATATTTGGGCAGCATCATTGATGAACAGGGTGGATCTGATGCAGATGTGAAGGCGCGGATCGGCAAAGCAAGAGCAGCATATTTACAACTGAAGAACATCTGGAACTCAAAGCAACTGTCAACCAACACAAAGGTCAGGATTTTCAATACAAATGTCTAGACAATCCTACTGTATGGGGCAGAAACCTGGAGAACTACGAAAACCATCATCCAGAAGATACAGGTGTTTAACAGTTGTCTATGCAAAATACTTCAGATCCATTGGCCGGACACTATTAGCAACAACGT